ACAAAGAAGGGCACTGCATAATGATAAAGAGAAAAATCCAACAGGAGGATATAACACTTGTAAATATCTATGCACCCAACATAGGAGCACCTAAATATGTAAAGCAATCCTTAACAGACATAAAAGGAAAAATAGAGAGCAACACAATAATAGTAAGGGAATTTAACACTCCACCTACACCAATGGGTAGATCATCCAAACAGAAAATCAATAAGGAAACTTTGGCCTCCAATGACACATTAGATGAGATGGACTTAGTAGATATATACAGAACATTCCATCCCAAAACCACAGAATATACTTTCTTTTCAAATGCACATGGAACATTCTCCAGTATTGATCACATATTAGGCCAAAAAATAAGTCTCAATAAATTTAAGAAGATTGAAATAATACCAAACATCTTTGCTGACCATGATGGTATGAAACTAGAAATCTACTGCAGGAAGAAAATCAGAAAAGCTACAAATATGTGGAGATTAAACAAAATGCTACTGAACAATGATTGAGTCAATGTAGAAATCAAAGGAGAAATCAAAAAATACCTGTAGACAAATGAAGATGAAAATATAATGTGCCAAAATGTATGGGATACAGCAAAAGTGGTTTTAATAGGAAAGTTTATAGCAATACAGGCCTACCTCAACAAACAAGAAAAATCTCAAATAAACAATCTAACAGTGCACCTAAAGGAACTGGAAAGAGAACAAACAAAGTCCCAAATCAGTAGAAGGAAGGAAAAAATAAAAATCATAGCATAAATAAAAACTAAAAAAAAACTAAAAAAATAGAAAAAATCAATGAAACTAAAAGCTGATTCATTGAAAAGATAAACAAAATTGACACACCTTTAGCTAGACTCACCACAAAAAAAAAGAGAGAAGGCTCAAATAAATAAAATCAGAAGTGAAAGAGGAGAAATTACAACTGACAACTCAGAAATACAAAAGATTATAAGAGAATACTATGAAAAGATATATGCCAACAAATTGGATAATCTAGAAGAAATGGATAAATACTTAGAATCATACAACCTTCCAAAACTAAATCAAGAAGAAATAAAGAATTTGAATAGACCAATCACCAGTAAGGATATTGAAACAGTAATCAAAAACTTCAAAAAATGAAATTCCAGGACCAGACAGCTTTCCTGGTGAATTCTACCATACATTCAAAGAAGACTTAATCCCTATCCATCTCAAACTCTTCCCAAAAATTGAAGAGGAGGGGAAGCTTCCTAACTCATCTATGAAGCCAACATTACCCTAATACCAAAACCAGTCAAGGACAACACACAAAAAAAGAAAATTACTGGCCAATATCACTGAGGAACATAGATGCAAAAATCTTCACAAAATACTAGCAAATCAAATACAACAACACATTAAAAAGATCATATACTATGATCAAGTGGGATTTATTCCAGGGATGCAGGGATGGTTCAACATTTGCAAATCAATCAATGTGATATGCGACATTAACAAAATGAAAATAAAAAACCACATGATCATCTCAATAGATGCAGAGAAAGCATTTGACAAGATACCTTATCCATTTATGATAAAAACTCTGAATAAAATGGGTATAGAAGGAAAGTGTCTCAAAATGATAAAGGCTATCTATGACAAACCCATAGCTAATATCATTCTCAGTGGCAGAAAACTGAAACTTATCCCTCTAAGAACAGGAACCACACATTGCTGCCCACTATCGCTACTCTTATTTAACATAGTATTGGAAGTCCTAGCCAGAGCAATAAGGCAAGAAAAAGAAGTGAAAGGGATCCAAATTGGAAAGGAAGAATTGGAACTGTCATTATTTGCAGATGACATGGTTTTATATACACAAAACCCTAAAGCATCTACCAAAAAAACTTTTAGAAATAATAAATGAACATGGTAAATTTGCAGGATACAACATCAACATACAAAAATCAGTTGCATTTCTATACACTAACAATGAAGTAGCAGAAAGAGAAATTAAGAATATAATTCCATTTACAATCACAAAAAGAATAAAATATCTAGGAATAAACTTAACCAAAGAGGTGAAAGATCTGTACACTGAAAACTATAAAGCATTATTGAAAGAAATTGAAGAAGATGCAAAAAAAAAATGGATAGATATTCTATGTTCTTGAATTGGAAGAATTAACATAATTAAAATGTCCATATTTCCTAAAGCAATCTACAGATTCAATGCAATCCCTATCAAACTTCCAACCACATTTTTCACAGAAATAGAACAAAGAATCCTAAAATTTATGTGGGACAACAAAGGACCCTGAATAGCCTAAGGAATTCTGAGAAAAAAGAACAAAGCTGGAGGTATCACACTCCCTGATTTCAAAATATACTACAAAGCTACAGTAACCAAAACAGCATGGTACTGTCACAAAAAACAGACACACAGATCAATGGAACATAATTGAGAGCCCAGAAATAAACCCACATATCTATGGACAGCTAATTTTCAACAAGAGAGCCAAGAACATCCAATGGAGAAAGGAAAGTTTCTTCAATAAATAGTGTTGAGAAAACTGAACAGCCACATGCAAAAGAATGAAAGTAGACCATTATCTTACACCAGACACAAAAGTTAACTCAAAATGGATTAAAGACTTGAAGGTGAGACCAGAAAGCATGAAACTTCTAGAAAAAAAACATAGGCAGTACACTCTTCAACATGGGTCTTAGCAGCATATTGTCAAGGATCATGTCTGATCGGGCAAGGGAAACAATAGAAAAAATAAACAAATGGGACTATATCAAACTAAAAAGCTTCTTGCACAGCAAAGGAAACCATCAACAAAATGAAAAGACAACCTAACAATTGGGAGAAGATATTTGCAAACCATATATCTGATAAGGGATTAATATCCAAAATATATAAAGAATTCATACATCTCAACAACAAAAAAAGCTAACAACCCACTTAAATAATGGGCGAAAGATCTGAACAGACGTTTCTCTGAACAAGATATACAGACGGCAAACAGGCTCGTGAAAAGATGTTCAACATCATTAACTATCAGGGAAATGCAAGTCGAAACTACAATAAGATATCACCTCACTCCCGTCAGAATGGCTGCAATTAACAAGACAGGAAATAACAAGTGTTGGAGAGGATATGGAGAGAAGGGAACCCTTGTACACTGCTGGTGGGAGTGCAAAGTGGTGCAGCCACTGCAGAAAACAATATGAAGATTCCTCATAAAATTAAGAATAGAACTACCGTATGATCCAGCTACTCCACTGCTAGATATCTATCCAAAGAACACAAAAACACGAATGTTAAAAGATATATGCACCCCTGTGTTCAATGCATCATTATTCACAATAGCCAAGACTTGGAAATGACCCAGGTGCCCATCAAGGCACAAACGGATAACGAAGATGTGGTATATTTACACAATGGAATACTATTCAGCCACTAAAAAGGATGAAATCTGGCCATTTGTGACAACATAGATGGACCTTGAGGGTATTATGCTAAGGGAAATAAGTCAGAGGGAGAAATTCAAATATTGTATGATCTCACTCATAAATAGAAGATAAAAAAAAAACAACAAACAATCTGATTGAGAAAGAGATTGTATTGGTGGTTACCAGAGAGGAAGCGGGGAGGGAGGAGGGTGAAAGGAGTGATTAGGCACGTGTGTGTGGTGATGGATTGTAAATTAGTCTTTGGTTAGTGAACATGATGTAATATACACAGAAATTGAAATATAACGTTGTACACCTGAAGTTTATATAATGTTATAAACCAATGTTACCACAATAATATAAATAAGTAAATAAATAAAAGTAATTTGAAAAACAAAAAAAGAGCAAAGACAGTCTTGTTATTCATAACAAGTCCCTTTCAACTGCATGTTTGTTTATGTTGAGCTGACTTTTAGAAAGTCCCTAAGAATGGGCATCTGGTTGCCAAGGCAACCAACAATGTGATTAGAGGGTTGGAACTTTAAGCCTCTCTTCCTGACCTCCATGTAGGGGAGAGGGGCTTTAGGTTGTGTTAATCACCAATGGCCAATAATTTAATCAATCATGCCTAGATAATAAAGTTTCCATAAAAAACCCTAACTAAAGGAGTTTGGCAAGTCTCCAGGTTGGTGAACATATGGCGGTACTGGGAGAGTGGCACATCTGGAGAGGGCAAGGAAGCTCCTCACTCCTTCCAACATAACTTGCCCTATGCTTCTCTTCCATCTGCCTGGTCCTAAATTGTACCCTTTTCTAATAAACTAAGTTTATTAGAAAGTAAGGAAGTTTACTTACTTTCTAATAAACTTACAAAGTAAGTAAGTAAACTGCTTTCCTGAGTTCTGTGAGCCATTCTTGCAAATTATCGAACCTGAGGTGGGGGTCAAGGGAACCTCCAATTCATAGTGGTGGGTCAGAAGCTCAGGTGACAACCTCAACTTACAATTGGTGTCTGAAGTGGGGGTAGGGCAGTCTTGTGGGACTGAGCCCTTAACCTGTGGGATCTGATGCTATCTCCAAGTGGATAGTGTCAGAATTGAGTTAAATTGCAGGACACCCCGTCAGTGTCTACTGGAGAGTCGAATTGCTTGGTGTGGGAAAACCCCCACACATTTGTTGACCAGAGGTATTGAGTGTAGAGAGAGGAATAGAGTTTTCCTTTTCAGGTAGTAATGATGATGTATCAAAACACAATCTGAAGTTATCACTCCTGCTTAAAGGCTTTCATGGCTCTTCATTACCTAACATAAAAGCTTCTTAGCCTGGTAGATCGTAAGGCCCTCCTTGACCTGGCACTCCCCTATCTACCGCCCAGCCTCATCTTGAACAACTTCCAGCTTAATGGTTTAAGCATTAGGAACTCCAAGCTGCTTACAGTTTCTCATGCACTTCATACATTTTATGCTCTGCACAACTGCTTGTGCTCTTTCTGTGGCTTGAATTCCAACTTTTCATACTCTGCTTAACTATTACACATCTTTCAAAATCTATCTCAGGCATTTATTTCTTCTAGGAACAACTTTTATTGACCAGTAATTGAGTGAAGAAGAAAAGCCAAAACAATTCACTTTCAAGGGTAGACTCTGCAAGGGTAGTGTTGGGTGAGATTGTAAACATCCTCAGTGCTCCTTCGTGGATATTTCAGAAGTGCATGCTGAATAGCCAGGGCTCACTCGAGAACGGCTACTTCAAGAACAATATTTTACTCTTCTAAATACCATTGCGATAATATATTTGGGCACCTAGTTGTTTCTATATTTTGTTTAATTTCCTCCTATCTTCCACCTAGATGGAAACAAAACAAAGTCAGAAGTTTGTTTTCATGTCTCTTTTTATATACATATTGCCAAATTATTTTCAAAGAGTTGTACAAATATATAATACTACAAGCAGAGTTTTACTACATCTTCCTCAACATTGAGTATTTTTTTTTAAGATTTTATTTTTTTCCTTTTTTTCTCCCCAAATCCCCCCGCCGTTACATAGTTGTATATTCTTTGTTGTGGGTCCACCTAGTTGTGGCATGTGGGATGCTGCCTCAGCATGGTTTGATGAGCAGTGCCATGTCCGCGCCCAGGATTCGAACCAACAAAACACTGGGCCGCCTGCAGCGGAGCGCGCGAACTTAACCACTCGGCCACGGGGCCAGCCCCAACATTGAGTATTTTTATTAGAATTTTCTTTTGCTTTTGTTAATTTAATAGTGAAACAAAGCAAGGCATTTTGTGTTAATTTGCATAATTTGCATACTTGTAGTGCTGTTCATTTTCCTGTATATTTGTTTACTAGTGGTTGTTCTTTATTTAGCTATACTATTTTAATTTCCATGAGTTTTTCTTGTTCTCTGATTGACCCTCCTCTTTTAATAGCATCCTGTTCATAATTTATGGATACAATATTTTCTGAAATATTCATGAGGTATTATTAGAGATTACTTTTCTTAATTTATTTTCTGTAGCTTCAATTCTGTCTTTCTTTGATGGTCATTTCTGTTCATACTTTGTGATCATTCTTTTTCATATTATAGGCTTTGCTCAATGCCAAGTAATCTCTTTTTATCTATTTATGTTTAAAAATGGGACAATAAAAATAAACAACTATGTGCTTTGTGTACGTGAGCAGAGTTTCTCCACTGGCCTGCTTGGCTTTAGGGTGAGTAGGATGGGAGCCAGCCATCATGCTGGGAGTCCTACCAAGGAAAGCAGGCTTTGGGGCAGCTGTAGCACACTCTTGGATTCTCCCTAGAGAAGTGGTTCATTTTCTCTGGAAAAGGAAACAGATTTTGTTTTCTTTTTTAACTTAGGCAATAAATGCTTGACTTCTGGGATTCTGCATGTGTGTGTGTTTCCATGTATAGGAAGGAGGGAGTGGGACCTGGTGGAGAGAGACAGCTGCGACTGAATTCTGTGTACACCCTGCCTGTGAACTCTTTCCAGCCGCAGTCTTACTCCCAGATGTTTCAGAGTCCAACTGTGGGGCTCAGTAGGCGGATCAGTCAGCCCACTCTGCATGTTCGAGGCCCCCTGCTCCCTCTTCACTCTGTCCCAGTCACCACTTCTCTACCCACTTTCCATTTTGCAAAAAATGGTTGCAATTTCTCATCCTTGATCTCTTTATTGTTGTGATATTTATCAAGATTTTCCCTTTTGAACATTGCAGTCCAAATAATTTGCTTTTTTCTGAAATTGAGATCTTTATATATTTAATTCATTTAGATAAAGGCTTTCTAAAATTAAAGAATTAACATTAAATTTTCATATGATACAAATATTTCCTTGAAGTCTTTTTACTTTGGTTTGTTTTGATGTAGAGAAAGTTTCAAACTTTTATCTAGTCATTTCTCGGTCTTTCCTATGTTTTTATTCTATTGAGTCTATATTTGGAAAATGCTACCTATTTCAGATATTTGCTGCTAATGAATTACGTGTTCCCTTGGATTTTCAGTATTCTATTTTCAAAAATATTTCATTCCTCTAAATGTAGTTTGGTGTATGGCAAATTGTCAAACATTTTGTTTTCTTTTTGGTGAAAAACTATTCAAACAAAATCTTACATGGAAATTTAATTTATAAAAATGAGAAAGAGGAATGGTTTAGGTGAGTTGGTATGGGAATGGGATTCACTTCACTCAGTCCCATCTCTCACTTTTGCTTTATTTCATCCCTGGTCCTATATCTGAGAGTGTCTTTAGTTTTCGAGAATTAAATTAAAAAGCACTGGTATATGGTGTAAAGTGAAAGTCAAAATTGAGCCTATTCCTAAATTGCCAACTAATTATCTAAAAACTAGTCATTGTAAGACTTTTCCTCCCCATTGAATTGTGAAACCCTTATGCTATACTAATTTATTAGACATAATACACTCTATTTGGAGGGTCTCTTTCTGTTCCATTAATTTATCTATTTTTACACTAGAGCTCTACTGTTTTAACATAGTATAGAAATGTTTCCATTTGTAATAAGGCTGATACCCATTCATTATACTTTTTCCTTAGAATTAAAAAAATACTCTTGCCTATGTGTCATTCCAGAAGATCCTGAGAAAAGTTATATTATCTTTGGGTGATATGATTCTCAATATATTGGAATTCTAAGCTATTAATTTTTGTTTTGATTCTCCACGATCTTATTTATTTTTGCAAAGTTGCCTTGTCCTGGATTGACAGCACTATGTTAAAATATCTTAGCATAATTGTGTTTCTGTTCATCTCTTTTTAATTCTGTAACAGTTCTCTCCTTAGGTATTTTGTCCTTCTGGCTCTCTTATTTGGCACGTGATATCAGTCCCCACGTGATGACTGGCCTCAGGTAGGCCAAAATCCATCTGTGGGGCCGGTCCAAAGGGTGCTCAGAAAGAATGCAATCAGTGGCTGAAGACCAGGAAGAAGTTCATTTGATGAAGAAAGAATGAAACTGCCAAAGCTCTGGGAGATGCCAAAGCTGTCAGAACAAAAAGGGCTCAGTGCCAGATAGTCAAAGTGGAAGCCAGGGATGAGGTAGGGGTGGGCGGTAGGGGGTAGCGGGTACAAAAGAATAAATAGCTTGGGATAAGGGCTGGGTACATGTTGTGAGAGAAAATATGGGGATAGGAAGTTTGAGTAGCTTCAGGAGTGTGAGGTGGTACCAAGAAGATACTAACAAGATACCAGAGAAAAATAACCCTGTGCTTGCTCTGTGAGAAGCAGAATCCTGTGGGAAAAGGAGGGCCCGACTACACTCTAATTTGAATTTGGGTCATTTTATTTCTCTTTTATAGAGAAAAATGGAAAAAAAATAATATCTCCACTTTTAAGTGAATCTTGTTGTAAATTCAGCTTTGTTTGAAATTAACGTTGCCATCTGCATTTCCATTTGCTTAAGCTTGTTTTATCCAAGTCCCCTTTACTTTATGTTTAGCCTATTTGTATTATTTTGTTTAAACCATATCTTTTGCAGTCATAAAGTTGTTGATTAAAAAAAAAATCCAACTTGAGAATCTTTGCTTTTTTAGTTAAATGAAACCATTTACTTCTGAAATATGGTGGAGATGGCTGGCCGTTCACTGAGGTTGTGTGTTCCTCTCCCACAATGTAGAGTTGTTGCCTGAAAAAGGCTGCTCAGCCAGGGCTGAATCTCTGCATGTCCTAAGTGTGAGCAAAGTGGTTGTGTCCTCTCCACCCTGACTCTTCTCTCATATTCTGGCTGGATGTCAACGCCCAGGGTGACATTTGAAACTGAAGATGGCAGAACTCTGTCAGCTAATTCCCTGTGAGACCTGGTACAGCAACCTCCGCATCCTCCCCTGCTTTTATACACATTGGCTGGTTTTGTGGGCAAAAACCAGACTTTTATTGTGTAAAAGCACTAAAATCTTAGAAATTATTATAGCAGCTAGTATTACCCAAACCTACATGATTGTTTAGCATTTTCTATTTTTATGTTTCTTTCCTGTTTGTTTTTCAATTGTTGTTTATTGGCAAAAGCTCCTTTGTGATATGTACTGTATTCTGTTTTCTGTGTATACTTCAATGAGAAGTAAACACCTTGTTGCAAAATATAGTATTGCCTTAAAGCTAAACCTATATTTATTAGATTAGCAAAATTAAAATAATGAGTGATGACTTTTTCTTTAGGAAGACAAAGAACTCCATGTTTCCACTCTAAAACTCTTTTCCTTTTTATTAGCTTTTGCCAATTTAATCTGGAGTTACAAGTACCATGATTAAAAAAATGTTTCATTTTTCTGATTTTTTAACCATTATGACAATATAATCCATTTCCTGATGACTTTTCTTTTCTCCACTTGTTGCTGTACCTTTTGCTGATTTAGCTTCTCATTTCTTATCCCTATCTGACACAATTTACCGTTGATTCATTTTCCAGTGAGAAGAGCATCTTTTAGTAACCTTTCAGATATTATATCTGGCTGATATATTTTCTGTGGCTTTTCGTATCTGAGAATGTCTTCTAGTTGCCATTACACATGAGCAACAACTTAATTGATTATAAAAGTATTAGAACATTGCCTTTTCCTCCAAAAATTCTGTAGAAACTTCCTCAACTGTCTTGTGATATTTATTTTTGGAGAGCTCAACCTAATTTTAATTATTTCCAACAGTAAATGTGTGTATATGTGTACATGTTTGTACTTATTGCTTACAAGTTCCTATACCAATCAAGAAATTTAGGGTTTTACCAAGCTATGTCTAGCTATTAATCTCTGTTCCTAATTTTTGTCTGCTACATATTTAGCCTTGTCAATATCTAGTCTTGATTCTCTTATTAAACCTTGAAAATTTTTTCTGCTATATCTTTGCTTATTGTTTCTGAGCTGTTTGCTCTATTCTTTATAACTCTTTAGATTCTAATTCACATTTTCTCTATGTAGTCATTTAGATGTCTGGTAACATTTCTCAAGTTTAGCCTCAGTTTCATTGATTTGATTCTTTGTAGTCTTAAGCCTTATTTTTTTCTGTTTCTAGTAAAGTTAATTTCATTTTGCTTCGTGTGTTTTTCATTTTATTCTGTTTTTTACTCATCTTGTCCTGCTAATCTCTGGGTTTGGGGGTGGCTTGATGTGCTTTGGACAACAAGGCAAGGGTAGAAGTTTAGGTTTTCCACTTGGTCTTTTCTGGAGGGGATGAGGGATTAGGAGCTGCAGTTTTTTTCTGTGGTGTTTGCTGGAGTAAAGCGGTCATTGTCTAAAACTTTCTGTCCTGCTAGGCTATCTCTTTCCGTTCCTTTAATAAGACGGAACAGGCTTTAGCTAGAGTTTGATAGTCTTTACCCATTCGCATTTTCCAGCGTTTCTCCAGTATCCAGTCTGGAATATATGAGACAGATAAAGAAAACCCCTGGAACTCACCACCATGTTGTTCCTTTGGTCACCACGTCCCTAGCTAGTCTGCCTTCTTCCCTCCACCTTTCCGAGTCTTCTTATGTCTGTTTTACATATAATGTCCAGGGTTTTTAGTTGTCCTTAGGGGGAGGAATAGGAAAAAGGGCATTTACTCTACATTTCAGGAAGTAAAAGTCTTCAGCTGAAAATTTAAAGATAAATAGGGAATAATAGGAGGCAGGGAAGTATGTGCACTTTTCCCCATTCTCCAGTCCAATCATCATAACTTATATTTTCAAAGAAGGGACTTCGTTTCTGGGTGTGCTCTACTTTAGCTAGTCAGATGCACAGGGAAAACCAGGTCACCTTCATAAAGTGTGGTCCACACATACAATCTTAGAACAGTTGATATTTTAATTCTATAGTTAATTTCAGAGTCACTTTTACTGCTTTCCCTTCATTACAGCATTTGACTCATTTGTCTTTCAAAGGACTAGTAAACCTTAATTTGCTTTAGCAGCTTTGAATGGATTTTTATTGTTTCTTACCACTGCCTTTCAACTCATGTAATTTGAAAACTAAATGCAAACTGTAAAACTCAATCAGTCTGGTAGTATTCTTTTAATATCAATTTTTATATAATTAGCCCCCAAACTGTGTTCAATTACTGACAATTAATCTTATGCACTTTGAGGGACAGCACTAATTTCACACTTAGCAGCATTTAAAAGGAAGGTAGTGTGAATACTATAGGGAAAAATTCCCTCCCTAAGGAGTTATGCTGTATTATCGCTGACTAGAGAATAAAAGTGCTTTCACATTGCAACCCACTGTAGGGGCCCACATTTTCTTTAACTCTAGGCTGGTAGAATTGTGTAACAAACACACAAGCAGAATCACACGTACTTTAATTACTGTTTTCAGTGAGGCTGCCAGCCTTTTACAAAAAGATCCTGAATTTTCCATGTTCTTTTGACAATTTTCTTGGGTTGGTATTCTTATCAATGCTAGATGTCTAATTGCTCCATTGAAACTGACTATGAGAAGTCAAACAATGGAACTATAATAGGACAAAGAATGAGAACCACAACAGCTGAAGGTAAAAAACTGTGGAAAACTCATAGAGGAAACGTCCATAGACATCAAGAAATTCCAAAACAAGAATGCATTTAGTCAGTGCTTTATACATGTATAGTGCTGCATGCCTCGTTTTATATAGTATTGGCTTTTTAAAAAAATGTACCAACTTCCAATTGACAAATTACATTCTAGCTCATTACTGCTTTGTGTGTACCTAAGTACTTTCCCCTAATCCTTGGTATCTAAAGATGATATCATCGCCTGAATCACATTAAAATAATTTTTAAATACCATTTTAATTTCTTCTAATAACTCAAAGTTAACTACTATGAATAAGCCAAGGTTTGATATCTCCTCATGTCAAAAAAATAATGAATACATGTTAGATTGCATGCGTGGTCTTTAGCAAAAGGTGCACACATATCTGTTTACTTTGGTCTTTCATGACTTTGACCAAATTTTAGGTGCTTCTTTTTAGTAATTGGGTGATGAGGAGTTGTAGCCAATTTTAATGTTTATAATTCATACTCAGATATGCAAATAGATGAGCACATTATGAATTTTTTAAATTATAGGGACAATTTGTAGTGCAAAGTGGCATTGCTCCAGGGACTGAGCAGTGGCCTTGGAACTCAGAGCTGTGCATTTTAATTTTGATTAAGTCTTAGTGTGACCACAGGCTCAGTACCTTAATCTCCCCATATCTTGGATTATTCATCTATAGTATGTGTGTAACAATTTTCTTCCTGTAGTTGAGGTGAGGAATAACTATAAAACAGAGAGTGGCTTAAAACAAAAGATATCTATAGATATATCTATATCCAAAAACATATTTATAAAGATATACAGATATCTCCATCTATCTATATCACATAAGACCAATATGAGGCTGAAGATTTTGTGAGTTTAATAAACATTGTGTTGTGTCATTCACACAAAGATAAGACAGGTAGCCCATTGTAATGAGAAGCATAGAAATTAGCATATACCAATCTAGAAATTTTATTAACATGCATGTGATATAAGAAATAAAAATTTTGTAATAGCCATCAAAAACTTATGTGGGCATTCATTATTAAATGAGCTTTACTCCTTTTGTTTTATTCGATGCTATATACATCTTCCAACTGAATAATAATGCATTTTCAAATGCTTTATCAGGTATACTCTTTAAAAGAAGCCTTTTTTCCCCTCTCCCTAACAATGCTGAGGTTTCCACTAGGCGCTCAAATTTTACACCAAAAATATAAAAATCATACAAAGAAATTCAGCTCAAAAGTACAACATAACAAAACAATACTCAGATTCATGGTAATACACAGCAAAGAGTAAATCTGTATTTTTAAACTCACCTAGTTTTCCTACCTGTTACATGATATACTGTGTCCTGAGAGCCACAGAACACATAGGTGCAACTGGGGAGTTGATGATGAAATTTGGGCCTCTTTAATTTCCAAGTTTTCAAATATCCATCTTTTTAGTTTAATAAATAACTGCAACACTGAATTTCAGCACGGAGGCCATTCTCCAGTTGTGGAGCAATACAGTTTTGAGTCCTAGTGTCTTCCCAAGCCTCCCTTGCTTTGTGAAGCTGATATTTAGAAAGCCCTAGCAAACTAACACCTGCTAAACATAAATCACAGGCAGAAATCTACAACTGGACAACTCAGGAAGATATAATAGATCAAATCCATGAAGAACCTCACAATGAATTAAGAAAACCTTAAACTTAATCCTATAACCTGACAGGCAGTCAGCAGACTGACTTATGGGGAACTGTAATGTGGGAATTAGACTGAATGCCAGATGGCTTCTAGAAGTCAAATTAAAAAAAAAAAAAGAATAAACTGCAGTGGATGATAAGCACAGGTAGGGAGCCTGACAAGGAAAAAACAGTAACTGCATTTCGAAATAACACGCAAGGATGGACTGATATTTTACACTATATTCTCTTTCTTTTGTTTCTCTCAGTCAGCTTGACAGAAAGTAGTAATGTTTGACTAGTTAGATGCCTAATACCAGATGCCAGTTTGAACAGGTGCAAAAACAAAGAATAGAACACTTGCGTTTGGAACATCATCAGCTTTCCTCTTTATGTAGTCCCTGGTATGCTTTGTGGGAACTCACCTACTAGGTTTCTCATTGCTATTCCCCTGCTTGGGAGAAGTTCTATTTGATGAACATATAGCATGTTCCCTTAGTCAATGGAAAGGGTTAAAGAGAGGAGTAACCAATTAATTTATCTAGGACTTTGTCTAATTCCAAGAGATCACCATTGTGAGAGGATACAGTGCAGGAATTTTGAGATGACCCTGGGTAGAAATGTACCTGTTACCTGTTACCATAATCACATAATTGTAAAGTGCTGAGATGTATTTCTACCAGGGTAAGACAGTGGAAATTGGCACTGCCAATTATCAATGTTAAATGTATGGCCAGTCAATACAAGGCCTCAAAAAAACAGGCAGCTTGTTCCATACAGTCAGTTGGTAAATTGGATGCAGGCAGACAGAGGAACACAATATCCCTCCTCTGTAGGTGGTCTCTGTTTCATTAGCTTTCCAATTGATGTTGCTGCACGGTAATCCAAAAACGTGTGATGGGAACATCACTCTCATTTTTCATTAACACTCCTTCGCAAATGTATTGGAGGCAGGTACACAACAAAGATTTTGCCAGGCTTACTTTTATCCTTTTGGAGACTATTGCGTATCCAGTATCGCTGCTGGGTGCTTAGTTTCTACTCTTTTAGAGTCACTGTTTAATATGATCAACTTCTGAAAGATGTGGTGGAAATAGTGGAAGACCTCCTACTCTTTAAAAGAGAAGTGACTCTGGAAAATCAGTTTATATATAATAATGAATAGTAACATGGCTACTGAAGTTAGGTGGGACAAGAGAAAATAGAGATGATTCCTACTGGCTCAGGAAATCTAGCAGACATGTAAACCATGGAATTTTTTGAGAGATCTTAGAGATATCCTGACTGAGTCCTTCATTTTTCATTTCATAAATGAGGAAATTGAGGCTTACACTGGTTCTGGCTTTCCCAAAGAAATGCAATTATTGGCAACAGCTAAGACTGGAAAGCAGTCCTCTAACTCTTCTCTATTCAATATACCACGTTCAGCCTATTTGTGGGTGCAGACAACTACCAAGAACTACATAATTCATATCCTCTGCTTCCATAAGGCTACATCATAGCTTCTACTTATAAACTTATATCAAGACATCAGCTAAAATAGTCTTGTAGCTTTTGGAGAAATCATTCAGCATTATGCTATGTGTAGCAGTGTTAATTTCCCAGTGTAAACCTGTAGAGTGTTATATATTTCTGGTATATTTCCTGAGACAATAGCCATCATCTCTGGTTTTCCTTGTATCACATAACTTCAGTACCCATGTTATTATTGGGCACTAGCCTGCCCTGAATCCCTATCCAGTGATAGAGATAGTGCCACTCTGCCTTGATTGTATCCAGAAGCCTCATCCCCAACATGAAGCTGAACACCTCTCCAATGACCAATTCCTTTTGTCTGACTCCAGAAAATGGCTGCTTTCTGCCTTCCTGGCAACTGTGCTTTGTCTACATGATTGGACTCTGGTTGCAGTGTGTTTTGGAGTAAGAAAAGAGACCCAGTGCACAGGGCTTAACCCACCTGGTGCAATTGCAGAGCCAGCTCTGTCTATGTGGGTCTCATGTTTTACTCTTCTGCTTTCATTGAACCGTATCTTTATTTCCTGTGCTCCTTGGAATTCCTTGCTTCAGTAAGTGGGGAATCACCATCCCTCAGTCATAGGCTTTGACATACACCCAGAATGTTGAATTACAGCATTTTTTTTTCACTCAGGATTATTTTTATACAGCTAGTTTAAAGACTAATGTAATAATTCCAGAATATGAATGTCAAGGAAAAGGATGACTGATTTCAAACTATTTAAAATTCTTCAGAATATTTTATGTGTAAAAATACAGAATACTTTGTATGTATTACAGAGTTTGCTCAAATTTTCCAGTATGGGTTGTATTCATTTCTTTACTACAAATGTTAGAAGTGAATTCATACTACCAACTGTGGTTCATCTTTGTTCTATTTTAAGAGCATCCAATCCTCGTTACCAAAAAGAGTGTTATATAGGTAACAGTGGCAGATAAAGGAAAAATAGATGGCAGATTTTAGTTGCATTATTTTATCATAATTAAAAGTCATGTAAGTAACCGTATCCTATTTCTTATAGTATGAGTAAGTAAGAACATGCTAATCACATAATCAAAACAAATGGTAAGTATACTAAGTGCATCACAGTGCCTCCAGACATACGTTAATTTCATTTGTAAAATTCTGTCTTAAAGTCTCTTGCAAATTTATCCACAAAAATAAACAAAAATAATTAGTAAGCTGCCACGCTTAAAAATATACATAATAGCCGCTCAGGTTTTTTAGAAAAGTGTTTCCTTGATTCATATCAATACAAATATTATTTGTATGATATGGTTAAATGGAATTATTTAATCATGGATATTTGTCGTTACATCTTTTTGTTTAAAGTTATATGTGTATATTTTTAAATTCACCTTAATGGGATTATATTAATATCACTGCTTCAGGATAGTGGGCTTCAACAGAGTGTGCATGGTTTGGATGTAACCCTCTGCTCTCACTAGTGGGTTTCTCTGTCAGGTTAATATCTTTCATGAAACCTTTACATCCCCAGCTTCAGGGTCACTTGGGAGATGGTAAGGCCTAAAAGAGGTATTTTTAAAATTTGGTTTCTAGATTGACTATTATGTTAGGAATAATGAAAACTCCATTGAGAAATGAATTTGGAAGTTAAATATCCAAATAGTAGAATTTGGAGCATGGCTGTGGTGTCACAAAAGAACCATATAATTTGCCACAAATGATCTATGTTCCTTGTGGCAATGACAAAATGGGAAAAGAAATATATTTTTAAAAAGTGAAAAGTTAAAGTATCAGTTAGCACCTGTAATACCGCAAATAACAGGAAATCCAACTCAAAGTAGCCTAAATGATAAAGGAGACTGATAGCTCAAGCAAGGAAAACCAAGAGGTAGGGCAGACTTCAGGGCTCCTTGATCCAGAGACTTCAACATGCTGTCGAGGACCGTCTTTCCATTTCTCTAGTCAGTTCTCTGGGTTATGGTAAGGGCCTCATCCCCAGGCTGCCTGCCCTGAGGTGAGATGATGGCTCCTAGCCTCAGTGGGGTTCCATGCTTCCCCTTGAGTTCATGGGCAAGTTTTCAAGCAAATCAATGAGACTCTCCTGGAGCTTGGAGGCTGGAAGTAGGTCAACTTTCCCTAAAACCATGGATTATGTAGGGAAGGAATAGATACATACCCCTCCTCCCCACCCCTACCCCCTCACACAAATTCTGGTCTCTGAAAGGATGGGGAATGTGGGTAGGTAACCAGTATTTATGTATTACAGAATTAGATAGAATTTTCAAATTTGTTTTGAACCAGTTGATGTACCAATGAAATATATTAGCCCAGTATCCATCGTTTTATTTAGGGAAATTATCAGGAAATTTAAAACCTTAAATCTTAGTATATGAAAGGACTTCTATTACAAGAGATATGTAAATTGAACATTACAAAACATGACGTTTTGGGGAAATGTAGGGGCACATTTTTATTAACAATAATATTAAGGAAAGGTATATGAAATAGTTTACATTTCTTGCCTGCACAACTCTAAATTTTCATCTCCAATAACCCATCTCACTGCTTTTTTCTTTTCTTCTTTTTAGGCCATGAAAATAAATGGAAACTCTCTCAAGGACTAACAATCAGAGCTGCCTGGTTGACGAGGGAGGTTTTGGTTACAAGAAGACCCTGAAGCAAGGATTCTAAATCAAAGATTTAGGGGCAATCTGAGTTTGCATTTAAGATCCTTCTGCCTTTAGCAGTAGCTTATGTGTTATGTCCAATTGACATGTAAGCACAGTGAAGAAATATTCCATTACAATCTCTGATGACATTAGAACTGTGTATTTCATAATGTATTGTAGATAGATATTTAGTTTATTTAACTCAAATTATGACTCTTTCTTAAGAGCAGAACTTGAAAATTAAATTTATTATGTAATTGACTTAAGTATTTATTGCGTACCTATTCCATACTTAGCAGTGAGCAAGGTGTTATAAGATAAAATGTGTAGAAAACTAAGTCCCTTTCCACAGGCTAATTGTTTTCTGTTTCAAGTAAGAAATATGAAGTGATGTCTTCAATGGTTGTTCGATTTATATTGCAAATGTAATTACTTTGACTAGATGATTTTACCAACCGAGATTGAAGCTGTGAGGAATTGCCATGAAAAAACAACAAAAACAAAAAACCTTAATGATAGTCATCCTCCCATCTCAAAATAAGAGAATTGATTTGGCTTAACCTGTGGAAAATAAGTCCTTTGGAGTCTGCATTTCCAAGGAGTTGCAATTGGCTTTGCATGTAGAGGTTACTCTCCTTTATAAAATGAACTTGTGTGTTCAAATCAGTTGCTGGGGCAGAGCAAATTTCTCCATCAGTCAAACAAAAGTTCA